CTAATAAACCCCATAATCTGTGAGTTCTGTGTGGCCACTGCAGTGAATTATCGAACCCAGGAGAGAGGTGGTGGGTGCTTTGGGAGGAACGGTTGATGAAAGGTCTGGAGGGAGGCAGCATGTCTAGCCTTGCAGTAATAGGCCTTAGGTTACTGCTGGTAATCCTGCCTTCCCCTTGTAGGGTTAGAGGAGGTCAGAACATGTGGCCTCCTTGCCCTTTTTGCAACCTGACACTCTTACCCTCTGTCAGGTAAGATCTGTAACATACCTTTTTCCTAAAAATTTGCTTTAACATGGGCACTGATAAAGTAAATCGATAGCACTTATTTTTGGTACTTTATAGCAAACAAGGACCCACATCTGAACAATGTGAGGAGAACAACTTCGCTAGAGGTCTGTAGGGTTTCTGAAAGATCTTAAGGACTGAGAGATAAACTTTAAATTCTAAAAACCCTTTAACTCAAATCCCGTAATATATTTTATTACTATTCCAGGCTCAATAGCTCAGACACTGTTTTTAGCAATTATTTTCAATTATAAAGCAGATGTAACATCAAGTATAGGGAACAAGACTGCTTCAAGAAAGAAAAATGAAATATCCAAAATAAAACCTGATTTGAATGAGAAGTTAGAGACTGAAGCTGATTTTACTGTGCAAAGAATGGTAACTTCTTTCTTTGTCACTGCTTTCTTTCCTGCGAAGTTCTTAGAAGACAGATCCCAGAAACAATGACATATGTTGCTAAGGAAGAAGACTTAAAAAATAAATTTAATGTAATCTAATTAATTAAATTTTTTTAAAAATTGTGATTTGGGTGAAAAGTTTACAGAGCAAATTCATTTTCCATACAGCAGTTCATACACATTTTGTTTCACGATATTGACTGAAATCCCCATAATGTAACACCTCTTTTCCCACTTCCTCCCTGTGGTCACATTTCCCTATGTCTTTCTTTTCTATGCATTCTTGCCCTCTGAGCTATTTCCCTGTGCAAATATTGCTCTTCTTATCTCCCATGATTGATTGTTCTAAGGAGTGTTACCTAGCTGGTATAAATATTCACCTTATATGCTGTCTATTGTCTGTTTGAAACCTATGGGAATGAGTTCAATTCCAGGCCCGAATGGTGACAATGTTGTATATATTAAAAGTATGATCATACAAACAATTCTATCACAAGTGACATGTAATTTATTAAAAATAAGATTAAATAAATTTTCAAGGGTAAGACATCATGTTCCAATGACTCCTTAACAATTAAACTTGTATTATTAGTGTGAGGTATGTATGGCAAGACCTTCATGCCAACATAGCATACATAACAACATGTTGTATACAAATGCAGATTCACCCAAGTCTGGATGACCCTGGAAAGTGTCATCATTACAGAGGACACATCTCTATGAGTCAAAATTTGACAAGTCTTAAAGAAAGAAAAGGAGCTCTGGTAGCATAGTGGCTAAAGCACTTGACTGCTAACCAGAAGGCTGGCGGTTCAAACCCACCAGCCGCTCCTCGGAAGGAAGGTTGGGCAATCCTACTTCCGTAGTGATACTGCCTCGGAAACCCAAGGAGGGGTCGCTATGGTCGGGGCCGACTCGACGGCACATA